TGCACATCAATTACTGTGAATACAAACAACATTCAATACATATTAAAATAACATCAATTCGAATCTATACATAACAAACCTCCTCATCGTGAAATATACTATTAAAAGAATACATCTCGTTTACCGGCGGTGAATCTTCACACTCGTATACATGTACAAACCTCAGGTCCATCTTTTTCTGATTTTTCAGAGTCATTTCACGAACGAAAATCTTTACTGACCCCATAACGAAACGAAGAGTGGGTTTGTGTTCAAACATTTTAAGAACGGCACCTATTCATAAACCTTAATATAAACCCTATATATAGAACTGATAGCCCCATACCGTTGCATTTTTTTTTTTTGCCATTATCCATGCCTGTCAACAGTTGAGAGACTAATAATCCAAACGTCGTCATTTATTTTCGTTTCTTTTTCTCTGTTTATTTCGTAATTTTAGATAATCCGGGGTTATTATTATTATTTTTTTTTTTACTCACCCGAGCCAAATTCTAGAATTCATGTCCACATAAAAAAAAAACCACATGACTAATAATTGCAAATCATTTGTTAACCACTAAAACTATTAACCATCCTTGCACCTTTAAAATTCTTCACCTTTCGAATACATTAAAGATAAACCGGTCTTCAATATATTCAATCCGTTTTGCAGCATAAACTAGCCTTCAATATATTCAATCCGTTTTGCAGCACTGCAATCTTCTACATCAGTACATTACATAATTACTGTCAAAAATAATAACTTAACAAAATACTAAGTACAAATAAAAATACACAGCTTAAAAACGATCTACAACCGCAACATCCGAACCACTGAACTGTCCTTTTCTTTAACATAAAATTTAGCCTTTGAATTTCTTCTTCATTTTGGTTTATCCTCTTCAATAGGGATGGCGATGTGCCTTGTCCCCGACAGAGATTCCGATCCCCGCCCCGATAGAGACGGGGATGGGAAAAATTTTTGGGGAACGGGGACGGGGATAGGAAATATATGTGATTCCCCGCCTGGGACGGGGACGGGGATGGGGATACCCCTCCCCGCCCCGCCCCGCCCCCGAATATATATATATATATATATATATATATATATATATATATATATAACTAATGAGTAATGTCTCCATATCTCTGGCTGTAAGTACTAGCAGCATAGTATTAATATATGTATATATATAACTAAGGGGCAGTCGTCACTGTATGTTTGTATATATAACTTATATAGAGGCAGTATAAGTGTATACTATATAACTAATATAAGGGGCAGTCGTCACTGTATGTTTGTATATATAACTTATATAGAGGCAGTATAATACATACATATATATACATACATATATATATATATATATATATATATATATATATATATATTAGGAATTAGATTTTAGTTTTTTTTATTATTAAAAATTATAAATATTTAACATTTTGACTAGGAGTTGACGGGGAATGGGGAATCCCCGTCCTCGCTTAATTCCCTGCGGAGACGGGGATGGGTAGTGTTTCCAATTCCCCAGCAGAGATGGGGACAGGGTCACGGGGACGGAGACGGGGAGTATACCCCCCGCCCCCGCCCCGCCCCGTTGCCATCCCTACTCTTCAATGGTCCTAGTATAATCGTCTTTGCTCTTGCGCACATCGGAGGATCTGCCCATTGAAAATACCCACAACTATTCGTACCCTAAAACAAACAACACACATGGAAAACGATATTGTTAACTACGGTCAAATACAGTGATTTAAATATGCTATCTTACTTACCGATACATCCACACATTTCCAGAATCGCCTGCCCGGATTTTGATCAGTCCACAACGTCTTCATACACATTTGATTTGCCGCATTGCTGACACTCTCTAATCTATACAAATTCCGTGCAATCACTTGGTGTTCTACTACTCCAATTCCATGACTCCTCAGGTGAGAATTGCTCCATTACAAACTCCGTTACAAAAAAACCCTTTGAGAATTGCTATGCCAATCCAAATATATACTCCGTATTTAGTAAGCCACATATTAAATGATCTTTTTACTCTTTATAAAAGCTGAAAATGGACAACATAGACCTACCTATGCCAAACAACTGTTCGAGCACATAAAAATACAAACCAACCCCTACTTCGCATTAAATTACGTTTAAATAAATTATTTGTCCTACGCATTGCAAATCAAACCAAAATTACATACTCAACAAATCTTATATGTATATATATATATATATATATATATATATATATATATATATATATTAGAAAATAATTTAGCTCAATGGTTCATTAGGTAGTATTTGAGAGAAGAATGAAAAATATTATTAGGTAATAAATACTTCATTATTGGCATTACACCATATCGAGTCTAGAATAAAATTGTTGACCTGGGTGGGGAAGTAACGGATGACATTAGAGCATCTCCATTAGGGGGATTTTACTATGTTTTTGCAAGTAGAGGTGTGTATACGTGGAGGAGAGAGATGGAAGTGATGGAGAGGAGTGAGGGTGTTGCAGGAGAACCTTGGTGTTTTCAGAAATTGTGGGTCCTATGTGATTTGCAATGATTTCCGCTTAGCCGCGTGCAAGGCAAACAAGCGCCCAGCGTGGTGCACGCATGAGCCAGGGCACATTGAAACACTTTATTTTAACTTTTTTTTCTTTTTTATTTTGCTGACAATTCATTTTTATTTTTGTCTTTTTCCTTTTTTACCTTCCTCCCCATTTTCTCTTTTTTAATCACACCAACAAAAATTTCTCAAAAATCACACTAAAAATCCCACCATTGAGGATGCCCTGAACAATGTTTTGTCTACAAAATGAAAGAATTCCTTCACCTTTAATCAAGACTTAATCATCATCTCATCTTGATTTTGAATCACACAAGTTTTACACGCTCAATACGGACAGGTGCAGTCTTTGAAACAGTAGTTGAAACTCCACCCATGCTTGAGAAAGTCAATAGCAAAGCTTGCAAATCCTTTCTCTACAGACTGCATAAATTCTGGTGAAGCATTTGCAGTTATCAATGACAGATCCTGGCCGGGAGGCTTGGCAAGACTGCTGTCCTGCATTCTACTAGTTTCCATAAAAAAGAGGAGTTGTAATATATGGTATGTCAATGAGATTTTCACGGATAGTTATGCTGTGCATCCGTATGCACCATGCATGGTGCATACGGATGCCAAAACGACGTCGTTTTATTAAAAAACGCGCGTCTCCCCTTTAGAAAAAATTTAGGTTCGATTCCCAGCAACAACATTATATTGTTTATTTATTCTGGAATTTTAGTTCATAGATTATGGAATTATAGTTCATTGATTATGGAATTATAGTTCATCGATTATGGAATTGTAGTTCATCGATTCTGGAATTGTAGTTCATCGATTTTGAAATTTTAGTTTATAGATTATGGAATTTTAGTTCATTCATTCTGGAATTTTTAGTTCATCGATTCTGAAATTTTAGTTTATAGATTATGGAATTTTAGTTCATTCATTCTGGAATTTTTAGTTCATAGATTAGATTATGGAATTATAGTTCATCGATTATGGAATTATAGTTCGTTTTATTAAAACTACGTCGTTTTTGCATCCGTATGCACCATGCATGGTGCATACGGATGCACAGCATAATTTGCCGATTTTCACTCGTTGATGAAAGACCATTAATCTTTAATTTGGTGGATTTTTTTACTTCAATCATAGTAGACATTGGCGGCTGAGAATCCCACTGTCGTGTCATCCCATATTTTTCAAAACGAGTCATGTAACAAGTGCAAAGTAGTCTAGTAAAATTAGTAATCAGTGACAAGAGTATGTTATATTGTACATAAAACATTACAAAGGGTACAAAGGGAAGAAAACACATGAAACCAGTTACTAAACAAACCTAGATTAATGGTACCAACACCAGAAGGAAGAAATACAAGTAGGTAGGGGAGAAGGAAAGGAACAAAATGAAGTCCTGCATCCACAGATCAGTTAAATTTTGGGGTGACCATCATTCTGATTACAGTTTTGCCACATGATCTCAACAGATCAAGACCGTGCAACAATTCTGAATCACAGGTCAGGGTAATCCACTCATCTTGATACTTGATAGAAAAATTTTCTAGTGATATTTTCAACTTTGTTTCCAATTGCTCCTCCAAATATTTGATAGTTGAGGATGATGAGAGTGGAAACCTTAAGGTATCATTTTTATAGATTACCTTGACAGACATTGTGCTGTTACATTGGCTTGTATCTGAGGCTTGTAGAGGAGGCAGAGCACGACATGGTTGAATTCCTTTATGTTTCCTAACAGCTTGTACATGTTGTTTCTGGTTGAGAGAGCAATTGGGCATTTTTCCCTTACTGTGATTTGGCCATCTATTGATGCCAAAGTGCCGACATGCTCGCTTGAATGTAGATGTGCTAACTGCATAATATAATATAATGGGAGATTAAAGAAAAGCAAATGTGTCTATGAGGAAGTATATATTGAAGCAATTACCACCTATCTATACACTTAAGAAAATATTGAATACTACCACAACAAATCAAATATATGATAAAACTGTAGTATTAGCTCACCTTTAAGAGTTTTAGCAGCATCTTCACGACTCTTACCAAAGAGTTGTTGAAGAAGCTGGCGGGTAATTCCATGATCTTTCTCCCACCTGTCGGTTTTCTGTGAACTACTGTTTCCACCTTTGGCATGAATGCTATTATTTAACTCAACAACATTATTTGTTTCTTCATTTGTTGCACTGGATTTGGGAATATGTCCTTCACATGGTGAATCCAGTTGCCTCATCCCGCATGCTGCTTTATGTAGTGTTGGCAAAATGTGAACAGTATAAAACTCTGCTAACTCTACAGCAAGCCTCTCACGGTTGCCACCCTTTTCTAACTCTGCAGCAAGCCTCTCAAGGGTGACACTCTTTGCTAACTCTGCTGCTGCTGCTGCCGCATCATCATTCCCATCCTATTCTCTAACTCTTGAGCCTCACTATGATCTGCAAAATTCCAGAATCTAAATGGATCGGAATTTCCGATGGAATCACCGGACGGCGGGGAAAAGTAGTTCATCCTTGAGGGGCTCATGCTCATCATCATTCCTCCCCCCATCCCCATATCGGTGTGTAAATAGGGCGTAAGGAACAACGCTTCTTCACCAGAAAAGTTCATCCTTGGCCTTTGGGGGCTCATTATCATTCCTCCCGCCATTTCGAACAACAAATCGCACTCTGTACTAACAGAGTGATTATCCTTTCTTTGTAGATGATGGAAAACACTAGTCTCACCTTTTTCACTCATTTCTGACTCCGTCAACGGCGCCGCAGCAGCATTCTCGGCGGTTCCCATATCCGTAACAGGGTTCCAGGTGAGACCGCCATGGTTAAACAACGACCTCGTGGGAGAGGGAGAGGCAGCATATGGTAGCGATTGAGCTTGTTCCGGAGATGCCAATTTTTCAGCAGAGGAGGGGTCAATGAAGGATGACGCATCAACAAGTCTCATTGCTGAATTTGAGTGCGGTGAGAGATTGATTGAGTGGAAAATGTAATAATGTTTAATTTCGGCTTTGCTTGTTGACTTGTGGATTAGATTAGCGTCGAGTCGGCCATCTATATATATATATAATAAGGATGGGAAGAATATATATAATAAGGAATTGTTAGCGATGAACCTTTTGTTTTTTTTGACAAACCCCTTTGAACCTTTTGAACATTAAACCTTTCGGCCATTCTATAGTAACAAGGCAACAACAAAACCTCAATCACCATCACCCTATATTTACTCCCCCATATTATAAAAAATACTATGTGTACTTCCACTTCTTAATTACTTCCTTTTACAAATCTATTTTTCCACTCTTTCTAACGCCACCCAAAATTTTATCCTGAATGAGATATTTCAGAAATCTCTAAATAGTATATGCTGTGTTTTGACTACTTTATAGATTTCGGCTAAGTATGAAGAGATTATATTATGACTTCGGTATAGCTTGAAGATCATGATTTGCATCTATATTACTCTAAAGCTTATTGTATTATATTAAGGTTACTAGATCCGGGGTTGAGAAGAGTATCACTGGGTATTAGTTCATTATTCGTATTTTTCTCATGTTTCAGAGCAGTTAAGGACAAGTGAATAGCACGAGCACAAATGGTGGGGTCTCGAAGGTGACTTTTGAAACTAGGAGACTTAGTCCTAGTATTGGAGCTTATCACGAATTTTTGTTTTATTTGGATATTCCCTTTGACACTTTGTATTTTTGGTAAGCCATTGTGCTTAGTTTTGGTGCTTGTGATGCATTTTGGACATACTACTCTTAATTGTAAATATTTAATAGTAGATTTGATGAGTTTTTGGGAAGAACTAGTTTATTATATTTTGCCATTTTGGATTGTGGAATTATTTTATATTCAAGTGTTATTATGAAGATTCTGAGAGGTATGTATGGTTAGGCCTCGTATTGTAACAGGTCTTCACGTAACGATACGGCCGGGTCATGTCCTAGAAGTGGGGCGTGACAGTGTGGTATTAGAGCCTAGGTTTAAACCCTTAGTTGGTCAAGAATTTAAGTTTAAATTTTTGCAAAAGTAGGCTTTAATCTAGCGGCTAATAAGTTTTGGCTTTGAGCAAGTTTTGTTTATGGTTTCATAAACATTTTTGTTGATGTGGTCATACTTTCTTTGTTGTGAATTTAGGGAGTGTTGCTTTACAATGATTAGGAGGGTGTTCCTACACGGGGTTGAACTCGTCGAGTTAGGCCGTTGATAAATGTGTCGCCTATTCGGAACATAGTTGTGGATGCTTACTTGATGTGAGATTCATGTTCTTCGCATTGTTTTATTTCTAAGAAGTTTGCAAAAAACTTAAATTTGCAAGCTAAGAAGTTGAGAGAACCCTTGTATGTTAGTACCCCAATGGGGAAAATTGTGGTGACAGATACTTGGTTTCAAGATTGTTATTTGCAACTTAGTGGGAGCGATGTGTCAATTGATTTAATTCAGCTAGATATGCAGGATTTTGATGTGATATTAGGAATGGACTGGCTATCCAAAACTATGACTACATTGATTGTGCTCGTAGAAAGGTGGTATTTCAAATTCTTGGACAATCTATCTTTACTAGTGGGATACTGTAACACCCCACTTTTCTTAAACTTAATTAACAAACTTAACCTTGAAAGGTAAGCTAAGTCAGCGGAATAAACTTACTAAATAACTTAATAGGAGTGTCACCGCCACAACCACCCTTCACGGTGATTGCACAAGCTAAGGATAAATAACTAAATCATTAAAAGTCTTACTAGTCATCAATCAAACTAGGGGATAAAACCCCGGTGTTCAACACCATAAAAAACAACGGGTAGTCAACTACAAGTCTCAAAAAGCAAATCAACATCAAGAGTTTTAGACTACACAAGCTAACTAATGCTAGTCTAGTCTAACTCGTACTCTCTCACAAATTGGGCCCACCTGAAAGGGGTTAACAAACAACAAGTAGAAAACAAACCCGTTAGCACGAAGCTAAGTATAACTCCACTCAACCCTGTAAAGTACTACAGTATATACTTTTGGAAAACATTTGTTTCACATACTAAGATCAAGCATTCTCAATCACTTAGGCATCACGTAAACATGTTTAACAGGGTTTCTATATGCTTGCAACCTAATTATCACATAGGCATGCTTCCACAATTATCTAGCTTATCATCGAGCTCATACTTTCACATACATAACTTCTCAATAATCTCAAGTCTATCTAACTTCTCAGTAGCAATCTCATGCTAACACATAACTCAATAAGCAATCTTGCATCATCATATATCTCAATGAACGATATCATGCTATCATATATCACATTAAGCAATCGCGTGCTATCATATATCACATTAAGCAATCTCGTTATCATATAATTCAATAAGCAATCTCATGCAGTCATATAATCTCTAAGCAGTCTCATACTATCATATACTCAATATGCAATCTCGTGCAATCATATACTCATTATGCAATCCCGTGCAATCATATACTCAATATGCAATCTCATGCAATCATATACTCAATATGCAATCTCGTGCAATCATATACTCAATATGCAATCTCGTGCAATCATATACTCAATATGCAATCTCGTGCAATCATATACTCATTATGCAAATCTCGTGCACTTAACTTGATCATGCAATATAATGAACATGATGCTTTAGTATAAATATAGATAGATATACATATACACTTTTTTTTTGTAAAAAGAATACTTTTTCTTGTGGAGGTTTCTTAGAGTCACAATGACTCGCTTTCTTTCTCTTGAGTCTCATGACTCGATTGCTTTCTCTTGAGTCTCTTGACTCGATTGCTTTCTCTTGAGTCTCTTGACTCGATTTCTTTCTCTTGAGTCGCTTGACTTGATTTCTTTCTCTTCAGTATCTTGACTCGATTTCTTTCTCTTGAGTCTCTTGACTCGATTTCTTTCTTACTCAAACTTTCTCATACTTCTCGTTTCTGTTCTTGTGCGAGGCAGGTACTCCATCGCAGCGAAGCTACGGTGCAATCTCGTGCGTCCGCCACATCCGTATCTACGAAACCTCTAACTTGTGGGGAGGTAGGACATTCACACTCGTGAATGGACCTATACATGCTCGGCAATCTAGCCGGCTTAATACTCAACTCGCCCACAGAACCACTCTCTTGGTTCTTAAACTTTCTTTCTTGCTTGCTTTCTCTGTGGAATCAGGTATCATACTTTTAGTGTGCACACCCCTAACCAGGATTCCAAGCCCGGCGGGAAGTCTCTAACCTCGTAACTCGAGAATATCTACCTCGTTACATGTTAAAATTGTCGGCTCGCAATGTCCGTTTCTTTCTTTACTTTCTCTTTTTACCGATTTGTCGATTCTATCCGATCTTATCTCTTTTCTTTCGAAAGGACATAGTCCTAACGGTCCTCCAAAATACTTTTTGCCTCACAATAGATAGCATATATATATATATCTCATGCAACTTCTTTACTTATGCAACTTATGCACATAACTGCTCAACAATTTCTCAAATGCAACAAGATAATGACTTTCTAAAATGGATATGAGTTTTGAAAGTAATACTTAGGCTCACTCTGGCCACTTATGCATCTTAAAACATGATATGCTCAAAATGAAATTTCACTGTAACCAATATTCCAACTCTCTGTTATAACACTGTGAACATACTCTTAACTCATAATTTGGAAAAACTTCATTGGCAAACACTTAGCAAGTATTCAGCATGTACTTAGACTCAAAGTGCTCAATATGAACTTATTTACTGTAATCATGCTCATTAACATAACATTCATGGTAATCATATCAACAAGTCAAAATAGACATTTAGGCATGCTTTTCTAGCAAAACTTATCAAATATTGATCATGTATCATTATCTATCAATCATACAATTGCCATGCTTATCAAACAATTAGCCAAGAGTTAACACTTAACATTTTCATTCATTTCAACTTTCACAGACAACTTCTGTGAGCTTTTCCTTCACAAAAACTATCACGAAATGCTCATTTCTACTCCAAAATCAATGAAATCAAATTCTAAATGTGCGTTGTGACGACCCCGAGGATCCGAGCCGCAAGGGCCCATGAGTCCCGGTCCGAAATGATACGTAGCTGAGCCACAAGGGCCCGGTCACTGCATTGTAATCTGCTAGGTGGGGCTTGCGGCAGGACTTGAGGAGCCCCGCCGCTGGGACCGCCAGACGGCGACCTAGGGCCACGGCTCTTGCCTAGAGCCATGCCCTAGGGCCGCTCCCTCACGGCCCTAGCCAATGGCTCCCTCCGTGGGCTAGTCCCGTACCTCCACTTGGTGCACACTGAGTTGTGCACCAGTGATTTCATATTTGTTTTGCCAAGTTATGAGTTATGCGGATTTCATTTTACTTTTGGATATGTACTTTGTTATGTGATTTTTAAGGAAATGATTTTGCTACAATGAACTATTTGATTTATTTTGAATGTTTGGTCAAACTCATGAGGCAATCTACACTTTGTTGTTTGTTCTGTTCGGCTTGGAACGCTCTAATTGTTCATTCCGAATCGTCGAGTCTTTTGAATTATTTGTTGGAACATTCCATCCGGCACATTCGGAATCGTCGAGCCTGACTCATTCCGAATCGTCGTGTCTTTTTGGATCATTACACCGATAAGGGCATGTGCCACACGATATAATGGTGGTTGTTGGTTGCCAATGAATCATATGTTAAAGAATGATTT